GTATGAAATGTAATCATTTTATTATCAATCGTATCGTGCAGAAATCCTTGGAGTGGTCAGTGCGTGTAAAGTTACTTTGCAATTATCACTAGATTTTATAGTTATTTTATAGATTTTATAGATTTTATAGATTTTATAGATTTTATAGATTTTATAGATTTTATAGATTTTATACATTTTATAGATTTTATAGATTTTATGCATTTGTAGCAAAAATGATTAGGTGAAACACAACACTCTAGAGACATGAAAGAAACAGGTGTCCCAAAAACATAATTTTGGGACACCTGTATACGTTAATAATGCAAATAGCTTAATCTCGCGTAATTTGCGACAATGTAGTTTCGATAGCAAAAGTACATATTAATCGTTAAATAGTTCAATCAAGTCCGCGAACGTGAATTCCTGATCTGCGATTGCAGTGCCCTGCGCCGTGGGAACCTACTACGACGAGGAGTCGAAGCAGTGTCTGTCCTGTCCAATCGGCAGCTACCAAAGCGAGTCGGGCCAGCTGAAGTGCAGTTCCTGCCCCGTGATCGCGGGACGTCCAAGCGTGACGGTTGGTCCAGGAGCTCGAAGCGCAGCGGACTGCAAGGAACGTTGTCCAGCCGGGAAGTACTACGACGACGTGGCCGGTTTGTGCCGGAACTGCGGCCACGGTTTCTACCAGCCGAACGAGGGCAGCTTCTCGTGCCTGCTCTGTGGCCTCGGGAAGACGACCAGGACAGCGGAAGCTGTGTCCCGCGAGGAATGCAGAGACGAATGCGGATCGGGCCAGCAATTGGCCGTCGAAGGGAAATGCGAGCCTTGCCCGCGCGGAAGCTACCGCACGCAAGGCGTGCAAGCTGCTTGCCAGTCCTGCCCCTTGGGCAGAACGACGCCAAACATGGGATCTGCGTCGATAGAGGAGTGCTCTCTCCCTGTCTGCGACCCGGGAACTTATCTGAACGGTACCCTGAACGAGTGCATGCAGTGCAAAAAGGGCATGTACCAGTCCGAGCCGCAGCAGACCTTCTGCATACCTTGTCCGCCCAACACCAGCACCAAGGGAGCTGCAGCTGTAAGTAGTCCGATCGGATACGTCGGGAGACGCTTGAACGATCGATCGACGATCTAATCGTTCTCTTGCTCGTTCCAGACCAGCAAAGCAGACTGCACGAACCCCTGCGAAACCAGCGACGCGGAGATGCACTGCGACGCGAATGCATACTGCCTGCTGATCCCGGAGACCAGCGACTTCAAGTGCGAGTGCAAGCCAGGCTACAACGGGACCGGCACAGAGTGCACGGACGTTTGCATGGGCTACTGCGACAACGAAGGGGCGTGCTTGAAGGACTCACGGGGCCAGCCGTCTTGCAGATGCAGCGGCAGCTTCACCGGCAAACGCTGCACCGAGAAGTCCGAGTTCTTCTACATCACCGGAGGCATCGCCGGTGGTGTCATTCTGATCATCTTCGTCGTCCTCTTAGTATGGATGATCTGCGTCAGGTTGGTACACGCGTTCATTCGTGTTATTCGGGAAGTCCTGCAGAAGTTCTTCCTGCAGAAAATTGCATTCGCCGCGTTCCTTTTGCAGAGCTTCTCGCAAGAAGGAGCCCAAGAAGATGCTGACTCCAGCCACCGATCAGAACGGCTCGCAAGTGAACTTCTACTATGGCGCGCCTACACCGTATGCGGAGTCGATCGCACCGTCCCATCATAGCACTTATGCTCATTATTACGACGATGAGGAGGACGGTTGGGAAATGCCGAATTTCTATAACGAGACTTATATGAAAGGTGAGGCGCTGGGCATGGTCGTTCATGAAATCGTTGATGCACAAAAAGAATGAAGCCTTTATTGCGAACTTTCACACGTGATCGTTAATCTTCGTCCTCTGGTTACCGGATCATTTCAATGCAAATTTTCATGTAAATTCTCCCTAGAAAACCAGCAGCTCGGAATTGAAAACGGCAATAGCCGGACACTCGGACACGATTCTTTGAGCATCGCGACTCGTTTTTATAGAAACTCGAGGCAGTCGGTAAGAAATGTAGCGGCCAGCATTCTGGTATATATTAATATGAATAGAGTAATTTCTCTCTAATTCGCGCGCTCAAATTGTACACAAAAATGAACAATTTGGGAAGAGAAGATATGAATTATTCGAGTCTCGCGATACGTTTTTAGAACTACCGATTATCAACAACTATAAAAACGAGCCGCAAGGCTGAAATAATCGTACTTCCTCTTCCCAAATTGTCCATTTTTGTTTCCAAGCTGAGAGTTAATTAGGGAAAATTTACTGTAATAGCAAAATTTAAAAAACAGCATTTCAGTCATCTTCAAGTAGACTAGTCCCTCTATCGTCCAAAAAAAATCCAAGTCATTTAGTTCAATTTTAAAATAGTTATTGCGTTTTAATAGGTGTACGAACACTTTTGTAAGTAACTGTAAGCATAGGATTAGCACAGCAACCCGAAATTTGGTATTCTAGGGAGAATTTACTGTATTTCTGTATTTCTGTATTACTATATTACTGTACTTTTTCAATCTATAATAATTGGATAAAACAAAAAAATATTGCTGTTACACTAGGAATAACCGAAAGACTAATAGATCTACAAGAAAACTTCAAAAATATGTTTTGAAAAATTAAGGACCAGAGTTGAGAATGATTAGAATCATCGTCAATTTTATAGTTGTCAAAATGATCCGTCCTCAGAAGGTTGATCATCGACTAGCCAGAACGGTTAAATACAGTCTTCGTCCACACATTTCAATTCACCGTCGCCAACTTTCTGTTAGGCTCATCTATTCGTCTCGTTCACACTTAAATCCTCTGTTTTTACTTCGCGTTCTTCGTTGTCACTGTCATTATCATATAATTATAGATCTGAAATCGAAGCAAAAACAGATGTCGCAACCGTGGCATCATCCGATCAGGCCTTACATAAGCGTTTACATTCGTCCATTTCAACCAAATTTATTTGTTTATTTACTCTCTATTTATTATTTATTTATCTTCAACCAAAATTTAGCACATGTGCCTCGAATACGAGATAAATGAGCCGATTATTTTGAAAGTGGCATAAGTCACTTTACCGTAACGAAAACTGGTGATTTTTTAATGTTTATACGAAATTATTTATATTGAGAAAACTATCAGTATCCTGAGACAACAAATACAAGTAAATCTTCTCGAAAGTTAGCATCCATATTTTTAAACGTGTTAAAACCCAAACCCTTAAACATATTGACTTAAAAACAAAGTGACTTATGCCACTTTCAAAATAAACGGCTCAAATTATTCTAAAAATTTCAAGAGCACTCGCATTGTCGAATCGTTAGAAAAAAATCACATTTTATCGTTTGCGTTCTTCCCCAATATAAACCTGGCTTTCTTTCTGTGCAATTAACAAAACAATGCAGTTTCCAGCGAAGGTGTTTAACGCGCGTTTTTCTTGTTGTCTGTTTCCAGAGAGTCTGCACAATGGTAAAATGAACAGTCTCGCTCGTTCGAACGCCAGTATTTATGGCACGAAAGACGATCTGTACGACAGACTGAAGCGTCACGCGTACCCTGGCAAAAAAGGTGGGGACGTGACCTTGAGCGACTAGATGAATTTCGATCCGACTATAGCGTTCGATGGGTACAGAAGTGACATCAATAAACATTCTGTTTCAGACAAAAGCGACAGTGATAGCGAGGGTCAGTGACGGCGACGAGCGACGACGTTCTACCAGCGTAGAATATAAACAATTAAATTAAAAGCAAGCTCCCTTCCCCACCCACCCTACCCCTATATACGAACAACACGGAGCCCTCGTTGCTCCATCGTCGAGTTCTAATTATTTATTGTTCCCGATAGACGAACGTTGTTGTTGCCCGGTTCGCGCAGTCTCAGGGAGCCGAGACAATCGAAAATGATTTTTCGAACGCGACCGATGGGCAAAGCGGGTTTGTTTAATCGACGGTTAACCAACCGAGTCCTGGAACGATGATCCATTGATCGTCGCTTCGGCACCCGTCGGTCGATTAATCGCCCGGTGAAATTCGGATCGGGGTCACGCGATCACGCGTCGCACAAACATAGGAGACACAAACTCGAATAACACATACGAACGCACGTACGCGCGCAAAAGAAACGCGCGAGAAAAACAAACATACAGAGGGAAAAATAGAAAGAAAGACTACGCGCGAGGTTGTAATTTTTTGTAATTTAATACCGTGTCTATAGCCGTTAAGGACTTTATTATATTAATTAACTCCTACGATTAACGGTGCGAGCGAGAGAAGAACGTGTGTGCATGTATGTTAATACACCTATACATAAGCGGATTTATATTTTGTTACTATAGATGCTCGTATCATACGCTGTAAAATAATGTTCACGTAGGCAGGCAAAGGCGCAGACGCGCAGAGAACGCGGCGGCGAGAAAAAGAACAGCGGGCAGAGAAAACGCCGGCGGAACGCGTTCGAACCGCGGCGTTTCTGTTTCGGAGAAACCGCGACACTGTTCCGCCAATTGCCAAGAGGTCCCGGGTCGAAGTTAATCGGCGAACTGTCTATTTAACGCCTTTCTCGTTCCAGAGAGTCGACGCGGAGGAAACGACCTCCAGCGGCCAATTAACTTCGACTCGAACTCCTGTAGTTAGCACTTCGGGGAAAATCAAAATCAACGACCATCCGAGAGAACACCGCGAACATGTACATTCGACCGAGCCTACAACGCTGTTTTTTCACTTTTTACTGTAAAAACTTTAACAAACGGTTGTTTTCTTCTTTTTTTTTATTAATAAAATGTATTTCGATAATACTTCGTCGTGTCTAGCGCCGCCCATCGCTTTTGCCAATCGAGCTTCTTAATTTCGGTGTACCGGGGTCCAGTTTCATCGGGATCACTCTGTACATCTTCTTTTCGAACCGAGTATTGGCTCGAACCTCGTTTACCGTACTCGACGGTGAGTATTTCTTCGTCTCGTCGATCTCTTGGAAGAATTTGCTCAAACGAAGACTGGTTTCGTTACTGTTGTTTCGTAATTCGATGTCTGCGTAATCAGGCTCGTCCTCCTCCTCTGTTTCCGACGCAGAGCTTTCCTCGAAATCCGAATCTTCTGAAGTCTGTTCGTCTGTCATTGAAAGCACAGTGAAATCTCTTCTAAATAATAACAAATTCTCTTCCGAATAAATTGCTGATCCAATTTGGTCGCTTCAAACGAAACACATTTCTCGAACGTACTATCGTTTAATGAACTTTGTTGATGTATTTTAGACTTATATAATTATATTATAAAATATAATACATTATAGTATATTATATTTTATATATTATATTATAATATATTTTTTATAATATATTATATAAAATTATATTCTAGAAATGGATTTTCGATTCTAGGGCATTTTTGAAAACTTCCAAGTGATGTATCATTATCATTGAGATACCGAAGTATAGTAAATTCTCCCCCCCCCCCTAATTGACTCTCAGCTTGGAAATAAAAATGGACAATTTGGGAAGAGAAGGTANGTTGTCAAAATGATCCGTCCTCAGAAGGTTGATCATCGACTAGCCAGAACGGTTAAATACAGTCTTCGTCCACACATTTCAATTCACCGTCGCCAACTTTCTGTTAGGCTCATCTATTCGTCTCGTTCACACTTAAATCCTCTGTTTTTACTTCGCGTTCTTCGTTGTCACTGTCATTATCATATAATTATAGATCTGAAATCGAAGCAAAAACAGATGTCGCAACCGTGGCATCATCCGATCAGGCCTTACATAAGCGTTTACATTCGTCCATTTCAACCAAATTTATTTGTTTATTTACTCTCTATTTATTATTTATTTATCTTCAACCAAAATTTAGCACATGTGCCTCGAATACGAGATAAATGAGCCGATTATTTTGAAAGTGGCATAAGTCACTTTACCGTAACGAAAACTGGTGATTTTTTAATGTTTATACGAAATTATTTATATTGAGAAAACTATCAGTATCCTGAGACAACAAATACAAGTAAATCTTCTCGAAAGTTAGCATCCATATTTTTAAACGTGTTAAAACCCAAACCCTTAAACATATTGACTTAAAAACAAAGTGACTTATGCCACTTTCAAAATAAACGGCTCAAATTATTCTAAAAATTTCAAGAGCACTCGCATTGTCGAATCGTTAGAAAAAAATCACATTTTATCGTTTGCGTTCTTCCCCAATATAAACCTGGCTTTCTTTCTGTGCAATTAACAAAACAATGCAGTTTCCAGCGAAGGTGTTTAACGCGCGTTTTTCTTGTTGTCTGTTTCCAGAGAGTCTGCACAATGGTAAAATGAACAGTCTCGCTCGTTCGAACGCCAGTATTTATGGCACGAAAGACGATCTGTACGACAGACTGAAGCGTCACGCGTACCCTGGCAAAAAAGGTGGGGACGTGACCTTGAGCGACTAGATGAATTTCGATCCGACTATAGCGTTCGATGGGTACAGAAGTGACATCAATAAACATTCTGTTTCAGACAAAAGCGACAGTGATAGCGAGGGTCAGTGACGGCGACGAGCGACGACGTTCTACCAGCGTAGAATATAAACAATTAAATTAAAAGCAAGCTCCCTTCCCCACCCACCCTACCCCTATATACGAACAACACGGAGCCCTCGTTGCTCCATCGTCGAGTTCTAATTATTTATTGTTCCCGATAGACGAACGTTGTTGTTGCCCGGTTCGCGCAGTCTCAGGGAGCCGAGACAATCGAAAATGATTTTTCGAACGCGACCGATGGGCAAAGCGGGTTTGTTTAATCGACGGTTAACCAACCGAGTCCTGGAACGATGATCCATTGATCGTCGCTTCGGCACCCGTCGGTCGATTAATCGCCCGGTGAAATTCGGATCGGGGTCACGCGATCACGCGTCGCACAAACATAGGAGACACAAACTCGAATAACACATACGAACGCACGTACGCGCGCAAAAGAAACGCGCGAGAAAAACAAACATACAGAGGGAAAAATAGAAAGAAAGACTACGCGCGAGGTTGTAATTTTTTGTAATTTAATACCGTGTCTATAGCCGTTAAGGACTTTATTATATTAATTAACTCCTACGATTAACGGTGCGAGCGAGAGAAGAACGTGTGTGCATGTATGTTAATACACCTATACATAAGCGGATTTATATTTTGTTACTATAGATGCTCGTATCATACGCTGTAAAATAATGTTCACGTAGGCAGGCAAAGGCGCAGACGCGCAGAGAACGCGGCGGCGAGAAAAAGAACAGCGGGCAGAGAAAACGCCGGCGGAACGCGTTCGAACCGCGGCGTTTCTGTTTCGGAGAAACCGCGACACTGTTCCGCCAATTGCCAAGAGGTCCCGGGTCGAAGTTAATCGGCGAACTGTCTATTTAACGCCTTTCTCGTTCCAGAGAGTCGACGCGGAGGAAACGACCTCCAGCGGCCAATTAACTTCGACTCGAACTCCTGTAGTTAGCACTTCGGGGAAAATCAAAATCAACGACCATCCGAGAGAACACCGCGAACATGTACATTCGACCGAGCCTACAACGCTGTTTTTTCACTTTTTACTGTAAAAACTTTAACAAACGGTTGTTTTCTTCTTTTTTTTTATTAATAAAATGTATTTCGATAATACTTCGTCGTGTCTAGCGCCGCCCATCGCTTTTGCCAATCGAGCTTCTTAATTTCGGTGTACCGGGGTCCAGTTTCATCGGGATCACTCTGTACATCTTCTTTTCGAACCGAGTATTGGCTCGAACCTCGTTTACCGTACTCGACGGTGAGTATTTCTTCGTCTCGTCGATCTCTTGGAAGAATTTGCTCAAACGAAGACTGGTTTCGTTACTGTTGTTTCGTAATTCGATGTCTGCGTAATCAGGCTCGTCCTCCTCCTCTGTTTCCGACGCAGAGCTTTCCTCGAAATCCGAATCTTCTGAAGTCTGTTCGTCTGTCATTGAAAGCACAGTGAAATCTCTTCTAAATAATAACAAATTCTCTTCCGAATAAATTGCTGATCCAATTTGGTCGCTTCAAACGAAACACATTTCTCGAACGTACTATCGTTTAATGAACTTTGTTGATGTATTTTAGACTTATATAATTATATTATAAAATATAATACATTATAGTATATTATATTTTATATATTATATTATAATATATTTTTTATAATATATTATATAAAATTATATTCTAGAAATGGATTTTCGATTCTAGGGCATTTTTGAAAACTTCCAAGTGATGTATCATTATCATTGAGATACTGAAGTACTTATATAATTATATTATAATTATATTATAATTATATTATAAAATATAATACATTATAATATGTTATATTTTATATATTATATTATATTATATATTTTTATATATTATATTATAATATATTTTTTATAATATATTATAAAATTATATATAATATAATTTTGGAATTATATTCTAGAATAATNAATATATTTTTTATAATATATTATATAAAATTATATTCTAGAAATGGATTTTCGATTATAGGGCATTTTTGAAAACTTCCAAGTGATGTATCATTATCATTGAGATACCGAAGTATAGTAAATTCTCCCCCCCCCCCTAATTGACTCTCAGCTTGGAAATAAAAATGGACAATTTGGGAAGAGAAGGTACGATTATTCGAGCCTTGCGGCTCTCATTTTTATAGTTATTGCCAAGCTTTTTCAAAAAAATTCCTATTGCTTTTAGAATGACCAGAAAATAAAAAGTATAAAAGAATATAAAAATAATCAAATGATCGTACCTCATCTTCCCAAATTGTCCATTTCTGTGTACAAGCTTAGCGTCAATTAGGGAGAATTTACTGCATCTATCGCACAGTGAATGAAATGAAACGACGAGTACAGTACCTTCTGCATGTCGGTTAGTCATCAGTTGCAGCAGTAACTAGAAAATGTAATTCGAATAACTCCGTTGTTCATTATGTATTGCAATCCTTTGGAATTGCGGTCAGTGTGTCGTACCTCGATGCGAGCCTGCAAATCGGTGGAATCTTTTTTCTGCATTGGAAGCTGTTCTGTTCGATTATACTCTGCCTCTGCTTAATCGGACTGCCATTTTTAATCGGTCGTTTCTGAGATCGTTTCTATGTATCTGAGATTCCGAGTCATTTTGCTGGCTTGTCAGGAGAATCGCAGAATCGGTGACATTTTCTTGAGAGACATTTTCTTTCGTTGTTTCGACCGCGATCGACTGTCGAGGCATACTTCATACTTCACGCGGGAAAATGAAGATTATACATTATCTAAATATGATTTGCTCCAGGTCTTCTTCGCACGACATGCGCATGCAACGCTATCGAACAGTAAGTAAACACTCGATTGATTATTTGTTAATGATTAATTCCCAAGTATTGATAGATCGCCCGGAATTCGAAGAACTCGATTTGAATCGTTGGGACAATGTAATACAGTAAAATCGCCATTTCTTTTGCAGACACGTGTATTAGATGCTGTCAAACAACAGGCAACAATCGACTATTTGTCAACGATGTAGGCTTAAGGGAGAGCCTCGAGTGAAGCGTTGAAATATGGATGATTTTCAACAATTTTTCTACTACGTAAAGCATCGATGAAACTTGCCGTCATTTTTCATTTTACAATTCCTTAACATTTCAAGATACATATCTTTTTCTCGTTGCATTTTATCGACGTTTATCGAGACAGTAAATCATGTTCTTCATGAACGTCCCGGTCGACGTACAGTAAACTCAATTTTTCAACTTTTACAGCGAACAGAAATTTCTTTTTCCTTTGAAGTGAGAACCTGTCGAAGCTTCGAAAACCAAAATATTAGCTCTTTCGGATAATTCTATGAGCCAGTATAACGTTAAAAAGAGAAAATTTTCAAATCGAAACTGAAACTATCTATTTTCATTATTCCCTATAGAATATCAAATGCAGAACATGTAACACATTTTTTCTACGAGTCAACAACTATACGTTTCAGTTATTTATGAATTTCACAAGAATTCTTTAACTCGTGAAGAGAAAATGTCAGTTGTTACCAATATGAACTTTGAGAAAGCTTATAAAATATTGAATAAAAGTGATACACATCGGACTTCATTAACATGAAGGTTTGCATCGTTGTTAACATGTGCATGTAACTATTAAGTGCAAATACCTGCAAATATAAATTTCGTGTGGATTTCAACAAGCAGACGTTTGCAGTACTAGAGCGTTCTATGACTGGCCTAATGGGACTATGACTTGAATGAAAACTTCTTTTTTACAGATGTTCAATGATCTGGTAACGAAATGTTTTTAACATAAGTTTATCAGTATTTATATATTTTTCTACAAATTTTAATATATGAAACTTCGCAAACATTTTTGCTATAAATAATTAAGCTAATTTCGATTTTCTGAACATTAATATATATTTTTTACTTCACAATATTATAGAGCTGGGGCCGAAACGAATTCAATGATCTACTCTACTATGACCTTGAACCTTGTAACAACGCTAAAATAATTTTCGACAGAAATTACCGACGCTACGACGTTGATCGATGCGTGGTATCTAGCGCTTTTTCTTTCGATATAGAACAAAAAATAGAACGGAATTTTTCTCATAATAAAACTACGCGTCATGCGTGAACCTAAATTCTATTTAAAGAATTCAAAATGAATGACACATGATAGGCGGCTCTGAAAACAAAAAGAGGAGGGAGTTTCGTTAAAATGAAAATCTTACGCAAGGGAGAATAAATAAAATAAACTGGAGTCCCACACACAGCTAAATCTAATTTGCAGTCGTTTCACATCGGAGTCTTTATATGTATAAAACATGTCTTCTCGTCGATGATTCAAATCAAACTGTCCGACCTCCTATTGTTTCCTTATTTTGGAGACGAAATTCCTACGGCTACGCACGAACCTCGAGCACGCATATACGTATCTATCAACGCACGCACGCGTCTGGCTTAATACAATAAGCCTGCAATGATTATCTGCAAAGACTCCAACATACAACGAGGAATAGCACAAGGATCATCACTTTCGCCACTACTAACATGGGAAACTTACGACCATGGAAATCGCTTTTGCAACGAGAGTGGGTTAAAGTTATGGTACATACTTAATATAAAAAAAAGACCTAATAGGATTTATCAAAATGGACCTTCGTTTTTTAGATATTTTAAATAGATAACATACAGTGCGTTCTATGAACTCTGTCCACTTAAATATTTTGGTTATTTCAAACAATGTCAAAAAAATGTTACTTACAAAAATTATAGGAATATAATAATATGATATATATAATTATATATATTATATATTTTTTATATATTATATTTATTTTTTTATATTTTTTATATATTACATATTTATATATTATATATTATATCATTAATAATATGAATAATATTATAATAAATATAATTATAATATAAATGATATTTCTGCAAGTGGAGGCGTAGAGGATATATATATAATATATATAACATATATAATAAATAATAATAATAAAAATATATATAACATATATAAAATATCTCAAAAAGAAAGTCACATTTAAAAAAATCCCTTTACGGTTTTTTTATATTAGGTATGTACTCTAACATTAAACCACTCTCGTTTCAAAAAACGTAACACTTCCGACAGTCTGACAAAAAAATGTCAGATCATAATATAGCAAATTTAAGAAAAAAATGTTCCATTACAAAAACATCAAAGTTACTATTATTTTTTTCAATTGCATGGTATATTGTTTTACTTCATATTATTGAAGCTCGTGTCACGACGAATTCAGTGACCTGTTATATCACGACCTTCCGATTATTTTGACGTCGAAAAATGTGAAATCAATGAAGTAACGCTGCTTTAGATGTTCCACACTTCGAATTTGGTATAGTATATGTAGACTAAAACGGTATTCAACGATAACGTATCACTGCATTCATTTTATTTCCCTTTTTTGATGACTAGGTTATTCGCAGGTAATGGTATAACAGGTTGTTGAATTCGTTTCTTGCCACGAACTTCGATAATATGAAATAAAAAATAATATCGCTTTTGAAATTTTGCGTACAAATATTTGTTATACTATGTCTGTAGCTGGCGACAAACTGGTTAACTTATGTCAGGCTGTCGTAAGTGCTTGTTGAAAAATCGCGTCGACGAGTAATATTCAAATACCGATAAACCATTGTAAATTCGGTATAACGTAATTCAGGATCGTAGTTTCACAATGAACTTATAGTCGAGCGCGCATTATATAATTCTCAAAAGGAATTACGTTAGGTTCGCGTGCGATTAGAAAATAGTAGTCGAGGGCGTCTTATCGTGGCAGCGGAATCTTCGAAAAGTCAGCATCATCGTCTGACGCAAGAATTTCAGCGACAGGAAAATCGTGCGTATTTCGAACGCACTGTATCAGCGCCGGCGCCATCTGCGGTGGCGTTAACATTCGAACCTTGCAAAATCGATGCGCACTCCGAGCAGAAACGTACAACATTCCAGCAAAATTACACGTCGCATGCCTTGCTGATCGCACGGCGGTCACGTAATCCACTATTGTCTCATGTCCTTCCGTCGATCAATTCGACAATCCTATCGAACCTGCGAATCTTTGGTGAGTTTTCGCGACCCTGGGAGTCGAGAGCTTGACGAGGGCCTCGTTATCGGCGTGTACAGAATTTCCGAGAAACCCGAGCAGCAGCAAAAAACAGCGCGGAGTCTTTGGGACCGGGTCCAGCTAGTAGAAAGTCCGCGAAGAATAGAAAGAAAAGAGAAAACGCGATTATCGACTGCGCGAGCATTCGCCGGCGCGGCGTGTTGCTGCCGGCGTGCCGCGTCTGACGTGTCGGGTCGCTTCCGCGCCTCGACCGCGTTGCAACGATTGGCCGCCGGTGAGCTCATCGGGCGTTGATTGGCCCGCGGTGTCGTGCTCGGGAGAGTCGTTCTAGACGGGCGGCTCGGGCTGCGACGGGTATGTCCCGTGACGTGGTTTAATCCGGCACCGTCGTCGCTCCAGATCGCATTCCGCGCAGAAGATTCGCAGAGGCACGACATAGTGCGGAACGGTCGGGGTTTCGTCTCAGTGACGCGAGCTATCGTTTATACCCACAAGTACCTAGACACCGTCGAGCGCATACGTGGATCGATCGGACGCATCGCAAAGAGAATCTCGCAACCCAAGTGGAACCGAAAACCACAGTGATTGTTCCGAGGAGGGTGAGTATATACAGGGTGTTTCTCGTTTTTTCGCGTTTCGCGCGGCAAACACGGCATAAATATCGCGCGTACCTCTCGATTATATAATTCCGGACCGGGTTTAATTCCGTCGGTGCCGCACACTGGCAATGACTTGGAAATTACACTGCGCACGTAGTAGCCCCGCGGATCGATTGAACGTGGCCGAAGCGAATGCCGCACATATACTTCGGCCAGAGTAAATATAGCGTTCCAGAAACTTCGTTCTTTGTATATCGCGAACGGTGCGTCAGCCGTTCCCCGACCCGCGCGGTTCCTGCGCAAATTCGCCGATTGATCGCGCCGTCGTCGTCGGAACGACGGACCGGTCGCGATCGTCCCGTCGCCGATTCGGGCCGCCGTTATGTAACCAGGTTGATAACGACGTAGAAAATTCACGGTTAGTTTTCGATAAGGAACCAGCCGGGAAAAACGGGCCGATAGATTAGCGATCGTGGGCGGTGAGAAACGTCGAGCTACGTTCATCGGATATCCCGCTGGCTTTCCTCTCTCTCGCCGATTAGGCTAATCTGGCGACGCATGCCGCGCCGTCGAGAGCCCAGTCAACCGTTTAAATCTCGCGAATTCAGTGCGCGAGTTGTTTATCGGAACCGTGAAACCGATAAACTCGGTCTTATCGCGCCGATTAACGTTATCAACCTGACGGCCCGTGGATCTTGGTTCTCTCGATAAAAAGAAATAATAGTCGTTCCCGCGGGTGTGAGACTTGTACATATACGGCAGTCGGTGCTCGTTCGTGGAATCGCGAACAATCGTTCTACAGGGTGTCACCGGTGTCACAGTTCTGTGCGTTAAAAGTTCCTTCTGTGCACACACGGGAAAGCGAAATATATCGGACGAGCGTCGTGTGTCTACGTTTGTTCGCGTTTCTGCTTGCTCTTGGCAGCGATACAGGTACAACGAACGTATAGTCGACGTCGGATTGCGGGAACGTGTGTACGGTAGACGCGCGTACAAATATCCTCTATTTGTTCCGAATTGGTTTCGCCTCTATGCGAACAAGCTAGAGCTATCGGCACGAACACACGTCGTAGAGACGCTTGTTTTTTCGCAACACGTATATGCAGACGTTTCCTAGAAAAACGTTTTGTAAAACGAACGGTCGAAACCGCCCGTGCACAGTTGAACGAATTGAAAACGTTTGCTCGAACTAATGTTTTACTAATTATTTGCAACGCCGGGGCGGGCCATCTGCCAGCGCGTGTAACTCTACCTTTATATCTGGCCGATCTGTCTCTGTATCTTGTTTTTTTCCCCGCAGCGACTGTGTATCGTCTATTAATCAAATCCAGTCACGATCGCGATAAAAGCCTCGGCGTTGTAATAATACATTACTAGCATCCTCCGTGTGATGTGCGCAATGTTATCAGTTCCGAGAAACGTTAATCTTGTTATCATGATAAATTAACATCTTATTACTTTATATCGAGCTTGATAGGGCGCTCCGGATCGCTGATATACACCGTTATCTGCGACGTTTATTGCCTGCATATCGGAAAGTAAACAAAATAAAAAAAAAAAGAAACTAACTTAACGATAAGGATTAATTGTTATCGTCACCGGCGTAATCGTAACGATCGTTCGCCGATTGAACCGTGCGCGCTTCCGTGGACGGAATGCGGAGAGGCGTGCGCTTGTGTATGTGAGAGATTGTGACTTTTCTTCTTATAGGTATCCAAAATCCCTCCTATTAACGAACGCCCAACGGCCAGCAACATTTCATTTGAGAAGGGAGGCGTGTATAACGTGTGTACCGTTTTTCAAGACCTAAAACTACGACCAACGTTGTTGGCGGTGGCGAAAAAATGTTTTTAAGGAGAACTTTATTTTTAGGTATCCAAGCCATGCAACCATCAGCTGCGGCTGTCATCTGTTTCTCGTGGCGTGAGATCGGAGCCACAGGCGGAAGTGTCATCAAAAATGGACACAGTCCCCTTATTAACTCCAACTATGGAGACAGAGTTATTAAAAGAGCCATGGACATTTCCACAGCCCAAGATGAGCCCAATAAAAGAGGAGGGGAAAGTAACGTCCTCCATCTGGGAGGAAAACTTTCAGGATTTAAGCGGCTGGTGCATGGAGACGTTCCAGGGTCATTGCGATTTTCCTACAGGTGAATCACCTGCTTTTAAACTATCAGGTGAGCAAAAACAAGTCCCGTTCGATCGTTTCCCGGTCACGTCGGGGATCGATTTTCCACGTACAGCTGTTTCGACGAATGCTTCTTACAGGTACGAAATACGAGGGTAACAGTGCTTTGTCGTCAGAAGTGGGGATATTGAAAGATTTGATGAGTGTAGACGAGGAGAGATGGAACGTCAAAATGAGTAATAGTGCTGAGACTACCGAATATTTCACCAGCAACTCTCACAGCTTACAATCCACACCAAAAGCCACTAGCAAATCCGCGAAAGAGGATAGCACCGCCGATATAGCTGCAACCAGCTGGTTGAAGCTGTCCGAGGGAACGGCGTCCAGCACGAGCACAAGCCCGTGGAACAAACAGAACAATACTACGACCGTTAGTACACCATCATTCCAACCCAGATACCAAGTAGAAGAGATCGATCTGGATGATGCTTGCCCGACCTCGATCGACTCGGCCGAGAACCAACGGGAAACCTGGGACGTTCTGAGAACCGTCGAGACCACTGGTTCGGACACATTCGACTTGTTAACATATCTCTGTGATGTGAGTCGACCAGACGTAATCGAGCTATCATGCCTTTCGAACACAGACCAGGTGCGAAATGGCCGGCGACGATCTCTTAGAACCGCCGCAGTTTTGTCGTAGATAACAGAAAGCTATAGATCCTTATAACTTGGGCGAATTCACGCCAGGGAGCGTGTTGCATCTGTCTGTGGCGAAAGCGTCTATTTTTGAACTGTTTTCGTCTAGAATTGTCTATAGTGTGTCGATCTTGACTCGCCGAACGTTTCAGAAGGCACGGAAGTCGATGAAAAATGCTTACGAATTTAATTGGTAGTTTATAATATATAAAAGTAGCAGAAATTTTTTGGCTTGCAGTAGGATTTCAAGGTCAAATTGTTATTTTCTTAGTAGAATACCGTGTAGTTTTATGCGAGACGCGGTATCTGTTGATTGACGAAGAAGAAAGACCAATTTCAAGGTCAATCGCGAGAGTTTGCTTGTACTACGACTTCTTTCGCGGCAGCGTTGATTAGCATTTGTTGCGTTCCTAATAATTTTCCTGATAGAACGGTACAATTTTTGTTTCTCTCGTGTGTTTATTTACTTTCATTCTGAAATTTTCATCGCAGGAGAATCAAATTTTTATTTCGACTTAGGAGACATAAATAACATTCGAGTTTAGTAGATTGTGTGTGAAATCTTCATCGCGAGTCTGTCTCGTTGTCACAGTGATAACGATTTGATGAAGGACTGTATCTTTTTGTGTATTGTAGCACATTTTGGGACACAATTTTAACATTCAAAATGTGAAAAATTGTATATTCTTTGCCTAAAGTTACTAGAACTGCATCTTCGTTTATCTGACACAACTTCGTTTCCGCAAACCTACTCTGCTACATCCCCAGCCCTTCTGAGATACTCCAGCGAATCAAGTAGAAACACT